GTCACCACCCCCTCAACGCCCTAATTGCAATGCACCCCCGTCTTACATGTGTAATTAATTCGTGCATATTAATTACACGGAATCCGCCTAATGAAACCCCCTGAATTTCAAAGGCGAAACCATGCAAAAGCAAATTACGGACTAAAAGAAACGGAAGAATTACCACAATCCTTAATTAAACCATTACAAAATCAAAAATGTATAATCAAATCAAACGAATTCTTTCTTAATTTTGCAGTATTTTTTTTATTAATGAATTAATTCATTATTAAATACTTGTTTAAATTAGAAACTAAGTTTTATTGTTCTATTCAATGCACTAATTGAGCAATAAATTAGTTTGATAAATTAATATGTAAATCAATTGAATTTGTAACTGAAAAATATTTTTTGAAAAATAATTATATCAATTTTTATACAAGTGGAAATCGAATCAAAGTGGAAATTTACTTTTGATTAATTAACTGGAATATTTATTGTTAAATATTGTTGGTGTAAGCTTTGAAACTGTATTTTCTAAAAAGAGATATTGGTACATGTTGTTAACATGAGAGAGGCTTGAAGGATTGCAAATCCTGTGAAAGTATGAAGGCATTTGCATTATGCTGGAAGGGGAGATGCTTTTTACCAGCTTTTCGGTGCATGGCTTGACTGACATTGAGCGTAACACACTTGGAAAGGGTTTCCTTCTCTCTCTCTCTCTTTTTTTCCATTCTTTTTCTCATCCTTTCGAAAAAGTAGTGCGCATATATGCAAGAAAATGGGACGAGAAAATGTCGAGATTTGTTTCGAGAGTGGAGGTGCACTCACCGGAAGAGTTTCCATCGCTGACGTGGCTAATTGCAACGACGAGAACACACGCACACGGCTCTAATTTCTCCTCCTCATTTCGCCTTCATCCACCATTCACCTCTTCCTGTTACACTCCTCTTCATCTTTAACCATCCTGTCATCTTACGTCCAATTTTTCGTAGGATTTAGATCACGAACTAATTGCTTTAATTATTAAAAAAAATCTATTTAAATTATATTTTTTTGAATTTTAGGAAAGTTCCAATAAAATTAATTACGTAAATCTTTAAAGATTACTTTAATTATTACTGATTTTATTGGTAATCAGTGTTTTTAACTGAAAAAGACAAAAAAATTAATACGCCATCTATGGACAATCAATGGAACTAATGCAATAAAATTAGTTTTACACTATGACATTTTATTTTTTCTAATCTTAATTGAAAGATAATATTACTATATTCTCAATGCATTTCGAATGCATACAAAATAGTTTTGTATAGTAAATCATATAAGTTGTAGATAAAACTTTATCCTTTAGAAAATGCTGCAATGCAAGTTAATAATGCCAGCCATTTCCTTTGCAAGCGCGAAGCGATGAGTTATGTATTAGGCTGTTATTTTCAGGAAATACTTAAAGTTAAAGCCCATTTCCGTGTTTTTCCCCCCAAAAAAAAGAAAAAAAATGAGAAAAAGAAAAATGCCGGTACATCGCTCTCTGTACATTTTTCTTCTCTTCGCTGCGAGCGAAACATTTCCCATGTCCCACGTTTTTTTCTCACTCCCCCCCAACTACCCAACCCTTGTTCTTTTCCTTCTCTCTGCAACACCCCACGCTGCAAAACTGGGCCAGTGTATATAGACAACACTCTTTTTTATTATTACTATATATTTTTTTTTCTCCTCTCCGTATACATTTCTGCTGCTGCCGCCGCCGCCGCCTCTGCTGTTGGGGTAAAAACGTGGGCATGTTTTATCTCCAGTTTTGTCGCAGGGCTCCGCTAATGTATGCCACGGCACGGCCAACCATCCTCCCCGCCACACAGAAGGGAAGCAACAAAAAAAAATGCTCCCACATACAGAAGGGATGAAAAAAAAATAACGTTGAGACGATACGAAAATTGAACAAAAACAACATTTCTCTAAATTCTAATTAGTTTTAATGCAAGGAAAACTAATTAATTTTTTTTTTCAGTTAAATTTAAATATTTTGCAAGTTTTTTTGGTGTAAAATGATGTTTTTGCGGTTTTTGTATGTGACGCGAAGTTTGTCTTTTCATTCTTTTTCTTTCTATTTTCTAAAAGTTTGCATTGTGCAGTGGAAAGGAAGAGGGTGGCTTGCTGCTACAAGCAGATATTTATATGGCTGTATTAAAATTCATTTTCTGCGCTCACGCAGACTGAAAAGATAATAATAATGTAAAAAAAAAATGTGCGGTGGAGGAAGATGGGGATGAGGACGATAGAGAGGAGAAGAAGACGGGTCCTGATTTATGTTGTACCGCTGCGGAGGGGTGTCTTTTTTTGGATGGGTGGAAGGAGGAGGATGTTATGTAACGTCGTATTTGGTGGTTTTGTGCTGAGGTTTGCAGGAGAGACTTGGAGCGTTAGTCAATATTTATTTATATCATCAGGACGAGCGTGTTTAGACAATCTGTTAACAATTAAGGATGTGACTTTGATTCAATCCTTACAGACTTGTCTATTGTCCTTGGAAATTATTAGTTTACTTAATTCTCTACTACAATTTGACAATTCTTTTTTTTATGTCGTTTTATTCACAATCTGTTGTGAACATTGAGTAAATTTAAGATCGCGGTTGATATTAAATGGATAATCGTTCTCGGTGGATAGTTACCATTATAACGTTTTTTTTTAAATTTGTTGGTTGACTGTTGTCTTGTAGGTTAACTTCAGTAGATATTCATAATAAAGGCTTTTGGCGTGCCTTGTGTGGGGTGGTAAATGGCAAAAACTACATGTTTTCTGGAGACGCCATCTCGTGATCAAATAACAAATTACTTTGTTTTTAAATATTTAATCTTTTTTTTTAATTCGATAATGCAAATATATACTGAAAATAAAAACTCCTGAAATATGAGAAAAAATAAATGTAACACGAAAATTTAGTTTTTTTATAGAAAATATATATTAAATAGAAAAAATACATCAAATTTACAATAAATTACTATCTACTAATTATATATTGAACAAATTTTGTTCTATTTGTAAAATCATGTCTGCTAAATCGTCCTCTGTTTGTAACAACATCTCATCGATTTGTTTCGCATCTTCTTCAGATATTTTGTCTTCCTCTTCTTCCCTCTTGCGTTTCCTTTCCTTCTCTTCATTTTTGGCTGCACGAGCCATTTCCTCTCTTTCTTTTTGCTCTTTCCTCATATTTGCAATTTGGATGTCCAACTCATTCTTCCTTTTCGTTATTTTGTCTTCCTCTTCTTCCTTCTTGCGTTTCCTTTCCTTCTATTCATTTT